GACAGTAAAATAGTGGTTGATGGGGACTTGGGGGAGGGAGGGATGACTAGGTGAAGCACAGGGGGTTTTTCATGCAGCAAAACTATTCTGTATGATACTGTAATGCCTGACACATGTGACATTATGTATTTGTCAAAACCCATATTAGGTACAACTCTAATGTAAACTATAGATTTTATTTAATAATAATGTATCAATATGGGTTCATCAATTATAACAAATATACCACACTAAAGATTTTTTTAAATTTTTTTATTTAAAATTTTTTTTAATTTTAAAGATTTTATTTATTTATTTATTAGAGAGAGAGAAACAGCATGAGAGGGGAGAGGGTTAGAGGGAGAAGCAGGCTCCCTGCTGAGCTGGGAGCCTGATGTGGGACTCAATCCCAGGACTCTGGGATCATGACCTGGGATCATGACCTGGCAGTTGCTTAACCAACTGAGCCACCCAGGCGCCCACCACACTAAAGATGTTAACAGTAGGGGAAACTGTAGGGAGAGACCAGGAATATGGGAACTCTGTACTATCAGCTCAATTTCCCATAAACCTAAAACTTAGTGCTCTAAAAATAATGTATATTAATAAAAACTAGAGTGATATTGATAAATAAATGTCAGAAATTTAAAAAATGAGCCAGACTAGAGACAGTCATTGGAAAATCATGTGATTTTCATGTGTAGTTCATACTGGGCTACTCGGAGTATAGCTGGCTAGTTTCAGGCAGTGCCTATTCAAATTTAAAACATGGCAGGCTCAAGGAGAGTCATACAATGAACTTAAGAGCTGCACTGTTTTGAAGTAAAAGTGTCTAACAGTAGGGCACTACTGGAAATAATTAGGGTAGCTCCATTAAAAAATGTTGGCACTGAAAATGATTACATTTATAATCAGCAAATATACTAATAAGCATTCTTTGATAAGCAGAAAACATCATGTGCTTGTTAAAGAATGGACAGAGTCCCAACTGAGGCTTGCATCTCAGTGACCTGGATGTTCCCACTCTCTCTTCCCTGCTCCTGATGAGCAGGGACTTGGAGTTATCTCCTTGTCCAGTGTCAACCAACCCAAGAAGTACTAAAGGCTGAAAGTATGTGATCCCAGACAATGATGTGAATCCACATGAAAAAACAAAAAGCACCAGTAATTATGTATAAGAAAGTATAAATGCTATTTCTTTTTTAAACTTATTATAAAAGCAACTATATAAAACCATATACATAACTGTACTGTTTGGCCTATAACAAACAGAAATATACTTGCCATTAGCAGCACAATGGAGGTGGGTGGACATAGCTATATTGGCTTAAGGAAATGACTACAGAGAGTATCTCAAATTCAATACATGGGTTTATTTATTTGTCTAAACTCATCTAATTTTGCCCTTGAAATGAGTGCATTTTGTTATATATGTTATACATTAATAAAGTTGACTAAGAAAGTCCAGTTGGAAAATGGGTAAAAACTTGAGCAGATATTTCACTAAAGCAGATATATGGATAGCAAATATATGCATGAAAACATGTTCAGTAGCTATTACTGGTGGGAATGTAAGATGGTGCAGCTGCTCTGGAAAACAATTTGGTAGTTTAGCATACACTTACTGTACAACTCTACAATTGCATTCTTGGGCATTTATCACCTCCTTGACACACACAACAATGAAAACTCATGTCCATACAAAAGTGAAAACATGTTCATAGAAAACTGAATACAAATGTTCATGGCACTATTATTTGTGATAGCTAACAATGATGATGATAATAGTAAGAATAACAATGTAGACGGCCCATATGTCCCTCAGTAGGTAAATGGATAAACTGTGGTATATCTGGATAATGCGATACTACTTAGCAATAAGAAGGAACAAGCTACTGATACACACACCTTGGATGGATCTCAAATGCGTTATGCTGAGTGATAAAAGCCCACAGTGTAGCCCATCCATGCTATAGGATTTCCTTTGTGTGACATTTGTGGACTGGCACATTATGGTGATGGAGGACAGGTCAGTGGTGGTCAGGGTTGGGAGAGGGTATGACCTAAGGGTTAGTTAGAAGTCCCCTTGTGAAATGGAATAGCTCTGTATTGGACTGTGGTGGTGGTGGTGGTAACATGAATCTACACACGTGATAAAATTTCACAGAACTACATAAAGAGTATATGTGAAAATTGGTGTAATCTGAATAAGGTCTGTAGTTGAGTTAGAAGTATTGTATTAGTATATTTTCCTGGTTTTGACAATGTACTGTGGTTATGTAGAACATTATCATTGAGGGAAGCTGGATGAAGGGTACATGGGAACTCTTTTGCAACTTCTTTCAAACTACTTAAAAATAAAAAGTATTTTAGGGGCACCTGGTTGGTTAAGTGTATGCCTTCGACTCAGGTCATGATCTCAGGGTCCTGGGATTGAGCCCCATGTTGGGCTCCCTGTGGGGAGCCTGCTTCTCCCTCTCCCACTCCCCCAGCTTGTGTTCCTTCTCTCGCTGTGTCTCGCTCTGTCAAATAAAATCTTAAAAAAAAAAAAAAAAGATGAAAAACAGTAGGGGGTCAGGGAAGCTCAAGGATCTGAGACAACATGGGTCAGACACCAGGTGAGAATAGCCCACCTCAGGCAGTCACTAGGGCTGGTCTCCTCACCAATTCTAGTAGGGTAACCACAGGGAATGTGGAAGCCACTAGAGCCATGGGGGCTGATGAGGTTTGTGAGAATCCACCCCAGGAGAGGTCAACCCCCCTTAAGAGACTATAGCCGCTGAGGATCATCTGTACATGAACAACAATGATGTTCACAACCTGAATGTCCAGGGAAGGTGTCCAAGAAAGAGCCCAGTGGGCCCACAAACAATGACCATGTCAGTGCATGAAATGCTGGGGATCTTACACAAAGGGACTGAGCTGGACATAACCTGCTGCAAAGATTTACAGGCTTCTGATTGCTGATCTCAGCTGCTCATGGCCCCTTGGTAGAATGTGTGGGGGTTGCTCACAGCAGCCTGGGAGAGGAGGTAGCATGGCCTGGGCCCGAGCTCCAGGACCAATAGCAGTTTTCAAGGGGAACATGGCAAGAGCAGAGCAAAGTTTTCTAGTTGTGGGAGGAAGCCAGTGGCCTGACCCAGAGAAGGCACCAGGGCAAAGTTCTGAAGCATCACGCTGGGGTAGGCTTCTCTGGGACTCGCCTAAGTGCTCTGTTCTTCGTAGGAGACTCAGTACCACATCCTCCAGGATGAGCGCATCTGACTTCAGTGCAAGACATCCAGGGGCTGAGTTCTTCTCCTGCCAACCTCCTATCTGGATGTGCCCAGGACCTTTCCCCCTGACATCCTCAACAACACGCTCACCCTCCTCCACAAGGCCCCCTACTTGAGTTGGCACCACGGCTTGACAGGGAGCGGGCTACCAGCCTACTGTCCTCTGAACATGTGCCAGACCCATCCCCAGCACCTGAGATCTGCCTGAGTCCAGCAGCCCAGGCACGGAAGACTCAACACTTCTAAAATCCAACTGCTTATCTTCCCCGACACCCCCCCACTCATGACAAGGTCCCTTGGCTGCTGGTCCCCAGCTGCTCACTGAACTCAGGCTGGAGAGTCTTTTCTTTTTTAAAGATTTTATTTATTTATTTATTTGACAGAGGGAGACACAGCGAGAGAGGGAACAGAAGCCGGGGGAGTGGGAGAGGGAGAAGCAGGCTTCCCGGGGAGCAGGGAGCCCCGTGCGGGTCTCGATCCCAGGACCCCGGGATCATGACCTGAGCTGAAGGCAGACGCTTAACGACTGAGCCACCCAGGCGCCCCTTCTTTTCTTTTTAAAAGACTTTATTTATTTATTGGACAGAGAGCTAGAGAGCCAGAGAGCACAGGCGGGGCGGGGTGGGGGGGAGACGGGGTGGCAGAGGCAGAGGGAGAAGCAGGCTCTCCACTGAGCAGGGAACCGGATGGGGGGCTCGATCCCAGGACCTCGGGGTCACCACCCGAGCGGAAGGCAGACGCTCCAGCGACTGAGCCACCCAGACGCCCCTGGAGAGTCTTTTCTGAGCTCTGTCACCGGCTCTGTGAAGCCGGCACAGCGTCGAGCGGGATGACTCACGGGCGGTCGCGGGCACGACGGGCTTTGACGGAGGCGACGCCCGAAGATGTCACCTCTCTACGGCCTGGGACACCAGGGCTCGGAACACCTGCCGCGCTCACGGCGCGTACGCAGCGTGCTGCTCACTCTCCCACCCGCCCCACCCCCGGCTCCTCGGCTCCTCTGCTCCTCGGAGCCTCTCAGCCTCGGACCACACGCAGCGACGCGGTGCGTCCCCCGGGTGTGGCTCCGAGGGAGGAGTCCGGCGCCGGAAGTCCCTCCTCCATCCGCGCGGCTCTCCAGAGCGCTCCCGTCTCGGGCCTTCATTGGTTCCCTCGGCACGAGCGCCCGGCCGCGCCCCCCGTCGCCTGGGCAACGAGCAAGCGGCACCGCGAGGGGAGCTGGGAAATGAGGTCCTAAAGTGACGCGGAGGCTAAGTTGATGGAGGCGGCTGAGGCGGCCGGACTTCCGGCGTTGCCCTGGAGGTGCTCCTTCTGCCGCCGGGGGTCGGGACGGCTGTCTCCAGAGCTGCGCGGCGGGCCGATTTCCTTTAGAGGCCGCTCGGCGGAGGACAGGGGCGGGACCCCCGTCGCGCTGTGCACGCGCTGTGACTCCCGGGACCGACCCCTCTTCCTGAGACTCGGTGTTGCCCCCTGCGGGACGGGCGCCGGAGGGTGTGGGCCTCCCACAGGGGCTTCCTGGTCCTTGGGCACATTTTAGTCCTAGCTTCGAAGGTTCCACGGCCGGCCGGAGGTTCCTGCGCCCAAAGCGGGGTGGCAGGTACGGAGTTCAGCCGAATAGGCCGAAATTCGGCGCCTGCCGCGGCCATGCTCCGCCCACAGCTTCCTTTGGCCGAGGAGGCGCGGGTGAGTGGAAGGTGCCCCAGGCTTTGACAACCCCGGCCCCCACCCAGTGGGTCTGGGTTCTGAATGAGCTCAGGAGAAGCGGGGAAGGCTGTGGCGGGTGAAGCAGAGGTGGAAGAGGGCCGGGGGTCTCGGAGGTCCGTGTGTGGTTTGGCCAGCTGAGGGCTGAAGCTAGGAACAGGTGCGGGTGGGGAGGTCTTCAGTACAGAGCGGAGGGGATGCTCTTAGCAATGAACCATGAAGGAGTGGGGTTCGACTGGGGCAGGATAGGGTTGTGGTTGCTCTCAGTGGTGTCACTCTGGAGACACCATGTGCAGAACGAGCATGTGAGGGATTCCAGTGAGCTGCCCATGGGGTGAACCGGTGAGATTGTGCTGGGCGTGTGGAGCTGTAACGTGCTGTGGTACAAAGACTTAGTGCATGTCAGGCAGGAGGGCAAACCGGAAGGTCTGGGACCAAGTACTGGGACCTAAGAGAGAAGGGTGGTGGCCTCTGGGAGGTGATCTCTGAGACACAGAAGGAATTGGCTGATAGGAGGTAGGGTGGGACCTGTTGTCTGGCCGGAACACAGATGGTATCTGTCTGGTCACCAGCCTGTTGTTGCTGTGGGCGGGATGCAGAGTCCAGTAGTAACTGAGGAGAGGCACCAGTGGAACTGGGGCCCTGGCAGTCCTCTGAGGTAAGGGTCTTAGGAGGAGGGAGGTAGAGGGTTTGCCTCGGGTGGGAATGGGGGTTTAGGGTTCAGAGGGAAAGATGATGTCAGTGAGACGTGTGGCAGGACCACGAGACACTGATCAAGGGCATGGATGTGTTCCTTTGTCCATGTTTTGGCTGGCTCTTCCGCCCGCTATTGACCCCTAAGGCTCAGTTGAATCAATCATTACAGGGCTTGGTGACCTTTGAGGATGTGGCTGTGTATTTCTCCCGGGAGGAGTGGGGGCTCCTTAATCTGACCCAGAGGAGCCTGTACCGTGATGTGATGCTAGAGAACTTTGCACTTATTGGCTCGCTGGGTAAGTCTCTCACACTCTTCCCTGGCCGACTGACCACCTCTGCCTTTTCCCCATAGGAAGGTGTGTGCATCCTAAAGCCACACCACAGAGGCTGTTTCCTTCCCAAGTTCCCTGTGGTTGGTGCTATGGGTACTGGCACTGGGCTGTGTGTTCTTCCTCTGCCTCCTTCTTAGCAGCCTTGTTAGCAGCCTCAACAGCTGTTGCCCTATAGCCTCCTGGAGTAGGGCTTGGGATGCAGGTATTTACAGTTTGCCCAACAAATTCCACTCAACCTTCCCTGTCTCTGTGACTCTGCTGAAGTCATGGCCCCTCTGTACTCTGGGTGTTGCCTTCCTTTAAAGGAGATTTTTACAGGGCTCTCCCTGGGCCAAACTTGAGCCACGAATTCGAATTAGTAGATCAATTTGGGGAGTATTGTTATCTTAATATCTTCCAATTCATGAACATGAGATATCATTCCATTTATTTAGTCTTCTTTAACTTTTTTCAAGAGTGTTTTGTAGTTTTCAGCTTACGAGCCTAAATTTATTCCTAGGTATATTATTCCTTTTGATGCAATTTTAAGTGGAATTGTTGGCTTAATTTCATTTTAGATTTTTCAGTGCTAGTATATAAAAATACAGATTATACAAAAATCTGATTTTTGTGTCCTATAGCCTTGCTAAACTCATTTATTAGTTCTAATAGTTTTTTCAAAGTCATATTTCATTTTTTAATTATTAACATATAATGTATTATTTGTTTCAGGAGTACAGGTCTGTGATTCATCAGTCTTACACAATACACAGCGCTCACCACAACACATACCCTCCCCAATGTCCATCACGCAGCCACCCCATCCCTCCCACCCCCCTCTACTCCAGCAACCCTCAGTTTGTTTGCTGAGATTAAGAGTCTCTTATGGTTTGTTTCCCTCTCTGGTTTCATCTTGTTTCATTTTTTCCTCTCTCCGCTATGATCCTCTGCCTTGTTTCTCAAATTCCACATATCCGTGAGATTGTATGATAATTGTCTTTCTCTGATTAACTTATTTTGCTTAGCATAATACCCTCTAGTTCCATCCACATCGTTGCAAATGGTAAGATTTCATTTTTTTGATGGCTGCATAATATTCCATTGTATATATAGACCACATCTTCTTTATCCATTCATCTGTCTATGGACATCTGGACTCTTTCCATAGTTTGACTATGGTGGACATTGCTGCTATAAACATTGGGGTGCAGGTGCCCCTTCAGATCCCTACATTTGTATTACTGGTGTAAATACCCAGTAGTGCAATTGGTGGGTCATAGGGTAGCTCTATTTTCAACTTTTTGAGGAACCTCGATACTGTTTTCCAGAGTGGCTGCACCAGGTTGCATTCCCACCAACAGTGTAGGAGGGTTCTCCTTTCTTCGAATCCTTGCCCAACATCTGTCGTTTCCTGACTTGTTAATTTTAGCCATTCTGACTGGTGTGAGGTGGTATCTCATTGTGGTTTTGATTTGTATTTCCCTGATGCCGAGCGATGTTGAGCACTATGTCTGTTGTCCATTTGGATGTCTTCTTTGGAGAAATGTCTGTTCATGTCTTCTGCCCATTACTTGTTTGCATTATTTGTTCCTTGGGTGTTGAGTTTGGTAAGTTATTTATAGATTTTGTGTACTAGCCCTTTTTCTGATATGTCATTTGCAAATATCTTCTCCCATTCTGCCAGCTGTCTTTTGGTTTTGTTGACTGTT